CAACAACAACAACAACAACAACAACAACAACAACAACAACAACAACAACAACAACAACAACAACAACATAACAGCAGCAGCAACAATAACATATCTCATTCTCAAAAGCAACATTAAGACCCTTACAACATGCTACCCCCACTCCGACAAACTGCCCCTTGTGTGGAGCCTGTCTGCCATGCCGCATTCCAAGAACTGGACTAGAAGGTATATGGTATGGTTTCAGGATGTTTCAGGTCAGCTTGGCAACCCAACCTGTGCTTCTTGACATGTTTTTTCAGGTGAGTTCTGCCTCGGGAGCTCCGAACTTCGCCCAGAAAGGGCACTGCCCCTTCAACAACCATGGAAGTGGATGGCCTGGCACCGATTTCTCAAGACTCTTTTCCTCTACCCAGCCGAGAGGGTGGTCCACTTTCATCATTGAAGGATGTTGGAGGTAGGGTTCTTCCAACTGAAACAATTCCAACCCACAAAACCGTCTCTCTCCCCATGTTTCGGCTCGTGCGCACTGGATCTCTGCCCGTGCGGCTCGGTTTCGGTCGAAGGCCATGGCCTGGAGACAACGACGGGAGAATTGGGGGCCACGAACCATTCGCAGTCTCAGTGCAAGAGTCCTGGTGCTTTTTAGGTGCTTTTTCCAAGTCCAACTGGTATAAAAAACTTGAAGATCTTTGCAGAGGTTCAACAACTGAGAGAACCAAGAATCAGCGGCATAACCTCATGGTTTTGATCTGTTTTGAGCATATCACCCTATACATCCCTATACTGGGAATGATCATTTCGGGGTGGCCGTTCGTTGACCTGCCTGCCTGCCGTCCCTTTCAACCCTTGGGATTGAACGGAAGTGCTGTTCACGGCGCTTCGGTCCGGCTTTTGCGGGTGAAACAGCATCGCCGCGCAGCGGGTTTGCTGCTCCCGGAGTCTGGTCACCTCCCATGGTCACCAGTCCGCCGCTCAGGGCCATTTGGGCACCAGAATCATTGGACCGGATCACTTCTGGAGGGTTTTGACCCTGCATAGCAGGGGTTTGGGGCTCTCAAGATTTTCACCATTGAGGGTCCTTGATTCTTAGGGTAGGTGGAATCACACCATTCACATTGAAGCAACTGGAAGACGCAGTTGCAGAGATTGACCCTGTAATGGCTTGGTCAGCCAGGGTAGGGTACTATAGAGCAAGTACATGGCAAGACTGCAAACGAACCAAAACCGATGGTGAACTGCTTGGTCGTCCGGACCGTCGGATGAGACCTGTGGAGCTCCCCAAGTCAACGGACCGAGTGCTGGAAGGCAGCATGTTTGAAAGATCCTGAAGATCAAAACCCAAACACCCGAGGTTTAACTCTTGAGACTATACAGAAACAAGATGTTCGACCAATTTTTTGAGCTGGAAGCCCTCAAGCTATCATCCGGGACTCTCCTTCCGTATCCAAAATCTGAAACGAGACATTGTCAGTCACACTATGTCACACTAATCAACACAAATGTGTATGAGTTGCACAGCAGGATGATGACTGTTATATTGACGCGCAGGTATACCACAACCGCTGGATTTGGAATGCCACGTGATGTCAAGTACTCTACTTCTCCTCTGACCCGTCGCCTCTACATGCGGCTGGGCGGAAAATATCTCTTTGGATGTTGGCTTGCTTTGTGGCGAGATGCCTTTGAGCTAGCAGCTAGCATATCTCACAGTCACAGCCACACCCATGTTTGAGCACGTGCGTTTCAAAGCAATGGGGGTTCCCTTCGGTTCAATGATTGAGCTTGTGTCGATTGTGAGGTTATGTTAACACTCACACTGACACTATATTATATTACTCACAACGAACCGATTCCCAAACTGAGTCATCACCCGGCTCATCCGGCTCGGGCCATGTGCCCATCTGATGACATCCCACCGACCCAGTCGGCATCCACTTCCAGCCCCTTCGACAAACCAAAAAACATCACCGGCGGTGTTCATGGCCACCAGCTTTGGTTGAAGAAACGGGAATGTTTCTAATTTAGTCCCGTGGAAAGTAAGGTAATTATGGATTGGTCTCATTCCCGACAAACAAAGCACCCAAGGACTACGCAGTATTGCAAAGTCAACACTCTTCGCTCGAGCCAAAGGAGCCGCGTTTCAAGCTGAAGCGATTCGCAAAGCCTCTTCGCTCTCCGCAGCACTGGGCCCGAAAGCCAGCGCTCCACCCAGCCACTGCTGGTATTTCAATATATTTCATCGTTTGAACGAGCCCACAGGAAACGCATCGTTCTTCGATGTTCTTCTTGTGATCTGAGTGGAAGCTACTCTTAGCAACTTGGAAAAATGGCCTCCTTGAGAATCCAGAAAAGGCCCGATGGTCCAAAAAGCTCAAGATGAGTCGAGATGGTCGAAATGGCCGTCTCCCGTCCCTCCACCGTTTTCAGCCATCGCCGCTATCCCCGGCTGTGAGCCGCAGCTGCTAAGCCTGCGTGCAGTCAAGGAATCAGGAGAGTTGCCCAGGGATTGGTTGAGACAAGATGAGACAAGCACCGCCAACATCAAGAGGTCTAATAGATGCGCTTGGGTCATCTTCTGGCATCAAAAACTGCAGTCTCACACGATGTGACTCCCAAATGGCCAAACCCTGGGAAGAGGGCGACTGTAACAGCTCACTGGACTTCCTAATGGTTGGAAGTACCACTTAAATGGCGCGTTCTCAAATGGCACGCTGCGGATGCGCTCGGGCGACAAAGACACTTTGCGAGAACATCCTTGGCACAGCACGGCGAGCACAGAATCTGCAGGAGTTTGAGCTGGGTAATCGGCTGCCGCTCAGACGCAACAAAGGCCCCTGTTTTTGACTTCAACGCCATCAACCGAAACAAGGATTCCCATACAAGTTGATGATGCCTACATAAGCCTACTGTAAAATCAAGCTGGAATCCTGAAGCTATATACAACTTGAAGAACACATGTCAAGTCGAACACTTGTGACCATGCAGCTCACACAAGGCATCCAAGATATGTCTAAAGCTTGCCGATACTCTGTGCCAAATCTGCTCGATCTCTGTCCATCTACTAGCATCCACCAGCATATGTGCTGGATCCTCCAAAAAGTATACCTAAATGAATGCAGCAAAATGCTTCGTCTTAATTCACAAAATTTAGTTTAGTGATGTTCAGAACTTTGATGAGGGTAGCACAGCAAGATCGAATTTCTGGCCGAAGAACAGTTGAGAATGTCCTTGAAGCCAGCAGAACCACTGCTCAGTGTTGCACAGGCACACTGGGAGAAAAGGGTTCCTTCCCTCTCGCACAACCAAGCGTCACGCACCAAATGGGTGTTGGAAAAGTAGTGGACCCTAACACCAATTCGATATACCGTGGCCTTTCTTACTCACTCACTCTACTAGGGGCTCCTGGCATCGCTACTAGGAGCAAGGACGCTAATTACTAGGGGCTCCTGGCATCGCTACTAGGGGCAAGGACGCTACCAGGGGCTCCTGGCATGGCTACTAGGGGCAAGGATGCTACTAGTGGCTCATTGATTTGAGTTCCTTGGGCTGCCATCTTTTCCACACCCAGGCTGCCAGGCCGAGGCATGGCGCTCGTTTAAAAAATCCGCTGGGAGGAGAATTGAACACATCGAGAAGCGCTGCATTTTTGGGTTAACTCTGGTGTGTTGGAGAAACGGACGCCTTCAAGCCAATCAATCTCAGTTTTAAGTGCAGTTCCTTCCTACCAAAGAATATCAATACTGACCAGGAGGGTGGAACCTCTGGACCCTAATCATATCAGGCTGTTCGCCGTCATGATGGACTCTTTGCAAATGAGCTAATCACCTTCGTAAATCCGTCTTGTAGGTTCAAAAAACCAATCCGTTGTACTCTTGCCCTATCCTTGCTGCCTGTATTTCTGGCCACACCAAGGTCTGCCATTGGCGGACCATCTGGTTCGCATGAAGCGCTTCAGATCTGGTTCGTGTCCCCAGCAGTTTAGCACTCAGTGGCCCCACCTGTGAGCACCAAATAGGAGTGTGCATTAGAATAGGGAGACCCGCACCAAACCTCTGGGAATACTAAACACTACTAGTTAAATCCATTGGTTGGGAGGTTCCCCCCCAAAAAAATATCCTAAACCGATAGATGTTTTCTTGCTCGTTCGCATGGTTCATGTGACTGAACTCTGCGGCGTCGGGTCGCAGCGAACGACGTTGGAGCGAACGTCGGGTCGCTTAACGGTTCGAAGCGAAGAGGGTGAAGCGAAGCCCAACAACCGGAACTTCATGCAGCTGAATGAGCTGCGAGATGGTGTGCCGAAAAAACACAACCTTGGGATAGAATGGGGTGCAATACACTCTTGCCTAGTTGGTGGTTCCAACTCACTTGAGAAATACCATCAAACTATCTGAAACCACCACCCAGGGAGTTTTTGTTCCCACGTCGCGCCTGGGCCCCCAAATCCCCACCAATCCCTTGAACAGGCGCTGGCTGCAGAGGCTGGCTCTGCTAGCTCTGGCAGCTTTCGGGCCCAACAAATCCCCAACACGTCTCGAGCTGGAAAGCTGAAAAGTCCTGCATGTTCACCGCATGTTCTCCACACACCCTGAGTTCATCCTCGTTGCGTGGAGTGAGTGAGTTAAAACCCCCTCAGGGTGGTGAACTCGAACAAGAAATGCTCCTCCAGGCCATGCCAATGCCATGACCCAGACCATCCATGGGACTGGAATACATTAATATGCCTTGGGTCTATCCTATTACCTGGGCCCAGTGGATGATGGTTCAACCATAATAATTAATTGTTTACTGACTGTGACAGGTAATAGGACGGACCCTAAATATGCATACATTGACCCCGCCACACCACCGCTACAAAGGCCAGTCCGATTGCCTGGGTGGATGGTTTCAGGGAGTAGCAACGGCCACGAGTTCCGCTGCAGGTTCTCAGTTCCACAAGAGTTGGTGATTGGCCTCAATTACGTGGATCATGGATGATCATGGACACCGAGGTGGGACTGCTGCGATGGGTTCTTTCGTTTGGGAGGGCGAGCTTTGGAGTCCCTTTCACCAACCGAGCAGGGCCAAGCAGTGACCGAACCAACTTCGAAGAGAAAAACCAAGAATCGGTCACGAAGCGAAGAACGAACCAAATGGACACCATCAATGTGTTTCGTTCACCAGCACCCAGGAAGGGCCAAAAGGTAGCTGTTAGGGCCAAAGGGTAGCTGGTTTCATAGGAGTCGATCAGCCACCCACAGGCGTCTGGTTCAGCCGCTGAAGGTGACGTGCCCCGACCGGCGATTGAAACTCGAGCATCCCCGACCCACTTCCGCCGCGAGGAACTCGGCGACCACCTCAAAAGCCTCAGTGAACCGCGAAAGTTCCAAGTGATGGCCGGGGCCCCGATGCCAGGAGCTACTAATAGCGTCCTTGCTCCTAGTTGCGATGCCCTTGTAGCTTCTTGTTCCGGTGGCCAACCTACTTGCGATGGCCTCCACCGAGCATAGCTCCACTGGATACTAGTTCCACTGGATTCGATGTGGTTTAGGGAATGATGTCCAAGTTCTCACCAATGTAGCACTACTTTTGGAATTCTTATTGGCACCTTGAGCCCCCTATGCCACATGGAATCCGTGCGACAATGTGTTCAACATATGTTGAACATCCAGTCACCGCAAAAAGAGAAAAAGAAAAACCACTGAGATGATCAGAGTTAGGAAATCATGATTCATGATTTGATTTACAATAATTATCGCTTTCTACTGGGCCCAAGCAAAACAAACTACCCGCAAACCACTCCCGCCTTGGCTATGCCTGTGGCATCCTTGTCTCCGAGGTGCACGCCCTTTCCTGGCGGCGTGCATTAGCGGCAGATGCTTCTACGCCCGGAAGAATTGGAAGATGCTACAGCATCGAGTTTCATCAACAACATGTCCTACAGCCAATTCAGTTCTCGCTTTCTGCTTGCGCGAATCCCAGTATTTCTGTCCAGAAACTCGCACACTCAAGAATGAAATTCATCCCATAATATCCCCCCAAAAGCACCGTCCAAATAAAAACCTAGGCCTCCTTGTGCTGAAACTTGTCTGACCCACGACTGGATGACCTCAGCCGGTCACCGTCCAGGCTTTTCCGCAAAATCACCAGAGCCATACGTGCCGTAGGTGGAAATGACACTCGGACGAACACATCACACGGGCCGTGCTCCCGATGGAAGACGATATTTCCTGTATGAACAGGGGGTGCCATCCACGTAACCATGTGAATATGGGCCCATACATCAGCAGCTGGATTAATGGATTCACCATGTTTCACCCTTTGCTCAAGCATCTGTCATCTGTCCGATTCCAACTTGATGACTTGCCTCTGTTAATATAGATTATGGCATTTCGCCAGCAACATTCCAATCCTTTTTAACACATTCGTCCTTTCGGAAGGCGCTCATCATTCTGCACATCAAATCCAAACCCCCTCACAAATCTAAGGTTCCTGAAATGAATACAACTTGAAGCCTCTGCAAGCTTGACATCTAAAATTCGCAGCAGGCGATCAGCACGTGAATGTCGGCAACCATTTTTCTCGCAACATGCTTCAAAGCAACAATCAGTTCCTGTACCACTTGCGTCTCATATTGGTTCAGCGAGAGTATGCACCATGAACTTGCAATCTTAAAAAACAAGACACTCTTGCAATTGCAACAAAATATTGAATTGCAATGGTGCGCACTTAACCAGGTGAACCTGATTGTCAACTGATGACCCTGTGCAGCACTGACAGTCGCGCTGTCCGCCACGCCATGTATGGACAAAAGTAAGGCCATGTCCGCCCCGTTCGTCGCTTCTTCCGTTCGTAGCGATGCCAAAGAGTGCCAAAAAGTCCCACCGTTTTGCCCCAGCCGGTCTGGTTGAGTTCGTGGATGAGGGGTGAAACATGACTCGTCCGCTTAACCTTCCAACGCCTTCTCAACAGAATGATCTGCCCCGGCCCCAGGCAACAGT